TGTTCAAAGACTGTTAAATCACATTGTTTACCCATATCTTCAGAAAAAAAATCACTTCTACTGCCGTGGTAAACAACCTGCTTCCCTATTTATAATGGTCTGGCCCTCTAGCAACTTCAGCGTGAAATTATAGCTGATTTACCTACAAACGTCAGGTGGTCATAATAATCTGGACACTCAGTGTAGATAGGATTTGAAGCACTATTTTAAGTGTTTTGCTATATTATTATTTGGTATTGCTGATGGTTGCATGTTAATTTTACCTTATTTGATCGGAGTCCCTTTTTTTTTCTTTTTTTAATTAGTCCTCACCAGAGGATATTTTTCCATCGATTTTTTTTTCCCAATGTGCCAATTTGTATCCATTGATTTTTAGAGAGAGTGAAAGGGAGGATGAGAGACACAGAGAGAGAGATCAATGTGAGAGAGATACATCGATTGGTCGCCTCTTGCACGTGCCCAGACCAGGGCTGGGGATGGAGCCTGCAACCGAGGTATGTGCCCTTGACCAGAATTGAACCTGAGACTGTTCAGTCTGCTGGCCGATGCTCTATCCACTGAGCCAAACTGGCAAGGGCTGATCAGAGTCACTTTTTAATACTGAGAGTTTTTTGTCCTGCCATTTTAGATATTTCATTATACATTTCAAAGGATCTATCTACAGATGATGTAATGCTTCTGTTATTAGGACTAAATTAGCTAGATGACTGATCTACCTTCTTAGATTATTATTTTTTTAAATGAATCAGATGGCATCAGCTATGTAGTAAATTTTTGTGAGTTGGCTTTAAGAATTGAAAGTATATTGATATGAGAGAAAGTTTTTATGCATCTTAAAATTATACCTACTATGATTTATCTTTTTTCTACTTGCCAAGCCTGGTTCTATGGCAGATTTGATTTAAAAAGAAAATTAAGCATAGCTAGATTTTATGCTTCCATACTACAAAGTTTACTCATTTCATTCCCCATCCCATTGATTGGTGCTGCTTTTATTGGTACATAGAACCTATTTATTAGGGTGAACTGGTTGAGATGATGTTGGTGTTTGGTTTGAATTTTTAAATATAATGGATCATAAACCCTAGCCAATTTAGCTCAGCGGATAGAGCATTGGACTAAAGGGTCCTAGGTTCGATTCCGATCAAGGGCACATGCCCAGGTTGAGGGCTCAATCCCCAGTAGGGAGCATGCAGGAGGCAGCCTATCAATGATCGTCTGTCATCATTGATGTTGATGTTTCTATCTCTTTCTCCCTCTCCCTTCCTCTCTGAAATCAATAAAAATATATTTAAAAGAACTTTTTAAAAAAATATAATGGATTATGGATGAGGGTAGAGAAAGGAAAAACAAAATTATATACAGACAGTTCTCGGGTTATGTCGGACTTGACATATATTGTTTCGTGGTTACGTCACCATCTCCCATTTATTTATTAAAAAAAAAGTTCTGTCATTTTGACGTCAGTACATATGTGCTTTATGTTTTTTATTATTTATCTACCACAAGTAAAGGTCAGGAATTGTTATCTTTCCTTTAATTTTTTTTTTTTTTTACTGTGTCACTTCATTACTGCTGTGTATGTGCTTCATGTGAGTGATGTAGGTGCTTACGTAGGTGGGTTCCGACTTACGGTGAAAATCATGTTAAGTCGCAGCATAGGAACGGATCTCCAAAGTAACCCGAGGACCTATTGTAAAGAAAACATTGCATTTCATATGTAATAACCTAATCAATAAAGAAATTTTTAAAAATTGCATTTTATGTTTGAAGTTTTGAGATTTAGAAAAATGAGGTCCTCCAGGGTAATTATATTCTACTGTTGGACTAATAATAAAATGCATTTTAATTTTCAAAAGGAGGCTTAGATCAGCAGTTGCCAACCGGTGGTCCACTTACCACTGGTGGTCCATGAGGTTTGAAAGGTTGGCGACCGCTGGCTTAGATCATAAAACAAGTAGCTTGTTATTAACTTTGAGTTTTGTTTTTTTTACAGTTGTATTCGATATATATAGAGACAGTAGGGTAAGTAAACACTATATATGATTACTTTAAAACAAGGACTGATCTTATAAGTGGACTACATAGCCATTATGAATGTAAAGGGTCTGCTGCTCAAAAAATACTTTCTCCAACTAAGGGGTTTGAAAATCACAGTGGTCAAGAATCTCCCCTTAAAATATACTTAACATTAGAAGACATACTATCAATAATTAATTATGTACAACAAATTTAGGGAATTTCCAAGAATTTAAATTATTTTTATTTTTAATTACAGTTGACATACGATATTATTTTTGTTTCAGGTGTATACCCCAATGACTAGACATGCATTACATAACTTACTAAGTGATCATCCTGATGAATCTAGTACTCATCTGACACCACACATAGTTATTAGAATATTATGCTGTATTTTACATCCCAATGACTATTCTGTAACTACCAATTTGCACTTTTTAATCTTTTCTCCTTTTTCACCCATCCCTTCAGTTAGCTTCCCATCTGGCAAAAATCAAAATGTTCTCTGTATCTATGAGTCTGTTTCTGTTCTGCTTCTTCATTTATTTCATTTTTATAGATTCATTTGTTGATAGATATGTATTTATTGCCAATGTATTGTTCATATTTTTTATCTTTTTCTTAAAGAAGACTCGTTAACATTTCATGTAATACTGGTTTAGCAGTGATGAACTCCTTCAGCTTTTTCTTGTCTGGGAAGCTCTTTATATGTCCTTCAATTCTAAATGATAGCTTTGCTAGGTAGAGTAATGTTGGTTGTAGATTCATGCTTTTCATCATTTTGAATATTTTTTGCCAATCCCTTTTAGCCTGCAAAGTTTCTTTTGAGAAATCAGCTGACAGTCTTATGGGGGCTCCTTTGTAAGTAACCAGCTGCTTTTCTCTTGCTGCTTTTAAGATTCTCTGTTTGAAAACAAACAAACAAACAAAAAAAGATTCTCTGTTTGTCTTTAACCTTTGGCATCTTAATGATGATGCATCTTGGTGTGGGTGTCTTTGGGTTTATCTTGTTTGGGACTCTTTGTTCTTCCTGGACTTGTATGCCTATTTCCTTCACATGGGTTTTTTCCAAATAGATTTTCTATTTCTTCCTGTCTTCTCCTTCCAGCACCCCATGATGTGAATGTTGGTACACTTGAAGTTGTCCAGAGGCTCCTTACACTATCTTCATTTTTTTGGGTACTTTTTTCTTTTTGTTGTTTTGATTGGGTGTTTTTTGCTCCCTTATATTCCAAATCACTGTTTTGATTCTTGGCTTTTTCTACTCTCCTGTTGATTCCCTATAAATGATTCTTTATTTCAGTTGGTGTATTCTTCATTTCTGACTGGTTCTTTTTTATGTTGTTGAGGTCCTCACTAAGTTCCTTGAGCATCCTTAGAACCAGTGTTTTGAACTCTGCATCTAGTAGATTTCTTGTCCCCATTTTGTTTAGTTTCTTTCTCTGGAGTTTTGTCCTTTTCTTTCATTTGGGACATGTTTCTTCATCTCCTCATTTTGGCAGCCTCCCTGTGTTTGTTTCTATGTATTAGGCAGAATTGCTACATCTCCTGGGCTTGGTAGAGTGGTCTAATGTAGAAGGTATCCTGTAGGGTCCAGTGGCACAACCTCCATGATCACCCAAGCTGGGCATTCCAGTTGTGTCCCTCCCTCCCTCCCCAATGTGGCTGTGTACACCCTTCTGTTGTAGTTGAGCCTTGATTGCTGTTGCATATCAGTGGGAGGGATTTACCCCATGGCTGATCCATTGCAAGGACTGGCTGCAACCACAAACAACCATGGAGAATCAGCTGTGCAGTGGCAGTTCACACAGCCGATCTTATTTCATTAGGGCTGTGGTGCCCACTGAGTCTGCCCCCTGAATGTATCACTGTGGAGATGGTTGGTAGTGTTTCGATGTGGGTCTCAAGCTATCCACCGGATGTGCTGGGGCCTCCCAGGAGGTGTGGCACAGGTCAGCCACACCTTTGTTCTGCCCAGGACCACCTGGCTTGAGCTACAAAGTGATCTGCAGCTGCCTGCTATCTGTGCTGGGCTTGGAGATGCCCAGGAGAGGCTCATCTGTGAACCAAGGCCAGCTGCCACTAGTGCCAGACCTGAGACCACTTAGCAAGAGGTGTGGTGCACGTTGAGGCCAGATGCCACTTGTTTGAGAGATTTTAGGAAAGTCTGAAACATGAGCCAAGACTAGTGATTCATAGGGAAAAGCTAATGGGAACAGGTTGAGTAGGCTTGCAAGTTTGGTGGGGTGGGATTTCAGGTAACTACTAGGGTGGGACAAACAGTGATAGCTACATTGATGGAGACTCATATATGGCTCCTGCTTGCCATCTCTGGGGTGGAGGTCTTATCAAAGGAACAATAGCCTCTGCTAGCACTTTTGTCTGGGAGAAAGTTGCACTGCACCTCCAGCTCTGGCCCTCATGCCAAACACTTCAGTTTCTCCCCGTATGTCCCTGGTGCCTTTTGGGCTGCTGTCCCAGCATTGCAGCTCAGAGGGAGCGAGTCAGAGTAAGTCTGTGTGCAGGTCCCTTAAAGGAACTTCCTGGGATTTCAGTAGTTCTCCCTATCACTCAGCCTCAATTCCCACTGGTTTTTACAGCCAGAATTTATGGGGACTTCTCTTCCCAGGACTGGAACCCTTGACTTTAGGTCCTGGTGTGGGGCTGGGACCCCTTGCTTCCCAGGGTGGACCTCTGCAGCCAAGATATCCCTCCTGATTTTTATTTAGTGCATGTGTGTGGGGGACCATGCCGTTCCGTATGTCCACATCTCCTAGCAGACAACATGGTTTCTTTAAATTTCTAGTTTTAGGACTTATATCCAGCTAGATTTCAGGTGGTTCTGAGTGATGGTTTTTCTGTAGTTTAGTTGTAATTTTTATATGGTTGTGGAAGGATGCGAGTAACACATTTACCTACGCCACCATCTTGACTGAAAGTCTCTGGATTGGTATCATTATTAATTATTATGATTATTATTACTATTTTATTTATTGATTTTAGTGAGAGAAAAGAATGGGGGGGGAGAGAGAAACATCGGTTTGTTGAACCTCCAACCTTGGCATAGATGACAGTGCTCTAACCAACTGAGCTACCCAGTCAGGTCTTCATTACTGTTTTTAATTAAAAAATTGTTTTTATTACAGTTGACATACAACATTATGTTAGTTTTAGGTGTACAATAAAGTGATTAGACATAGTACCCATCTGACTTGGTTATTACAGTATTACAGACTATATTCCATATGGTATACTTTACATCCTTGTGACTGTTTTTATAATTAGCAATTTGCATATCTTAATCCTTTGCCCTTTTCATCCATACCCCCAACACCATCATCTGGCAGCATTCAATTTGTTCTCTGTATCTATGAGTTAGTTTTTAACATAATGCCCTCTGGGTCCATCCATGTTGTTGCAAATGGTAAGATTTCATTTTTTTTTTATGACCAAGTAATATTCCATTGTTTGTGTGTGTGTGTATCTCACATCTTTTTTTTTCAATTATTTTTTTATATATATATATATATTTTATTGATTTCTGGGACCCTTCAGTCTGCAGGCCGACGCTCTATCCACTGAGCCAAACCAGTTTCAGCATACCACATCTTCTTTATCCATTTGTTTATTGATGGACGCATAGGTTGTTTCCATATCTTAATTGTTATAAATAATGCTGCAGTAAACATAGGGGTGCATATGTCTTTTCAAATTCATGTTTTGGGTTCCTTCAGATAAATACCCAGAAGTGGAATTGCTGGGTCATAAGGTAATTTCTATTTTTCATTTTTCAAGGAACCACCATACTGTGTTCCACACTGCCTGCACCAATTTATAATCCCACCAAATGTGCACTAGGATTTTTTTTTCTCCACATCCTCACCAACACTTGTTTGTTGATTTATTGATGATAGCCATTCTGACAGGTGTGAGGTGATATCTTTTTGAGGTTTTAATTTGCATTTTAGGCATTAATAACTTAACAGATAACTAAATGGCCACCTTATATCCTACTTTCCATTGTTATCAGGAGTCTGGGTGTGCTTAACATAGTTCAGTTTGCACACTTTTATTTTTTTCTCAACAAAGCCTCTTTTCAAGGTAACATTTAGAAATAATCAGATACCCCCCCACCCCCACCCCATGCACACTTTTTCCAGCCCTTGACTAGTGAAGTCTTTCTAGAGTGGTTTTAAAGGTCTAAGCAGAACCGTAGAGGCGCCCAGCCTGTACTAGGATGAGCAGACAAAAGGCAGTCCAGGGCATATTTGACCTGTTTGCATACTTCAGTGTGGCCAGGAATTTGTCATTTGATATTTAGAGAATTATTTTTAGCATTATTTGAGAGCCTGTGATATGTTAGATGCTATGCTTCTAATAAGAAGCTTCCAACAAGATGATCTGCTGACCTCGAGGAGCTTAATCTCAAGACTTGAAACCCAGGGCATTGGCATGGTCACAAGCTGGATCAAGTCAATTAGGGAGTAAACTTAGCCCTTTGCCCCGAATGTGCAGCTCAGAAGAGCTTTATTCTCATTTAATTCATTATCTCAATCCATATACTCCTGTGAGGTACGTATTATTTGTTCCCATTTAATAGATATTAAAATTGAAGCAATTACGTGTTAATGCAACTATGTTAATGGCATTTGAAAATTTGGAATTTATCAGTCTCTCAATATTTCCCTGGCAAATAACCAGTTCTGCAAGTGTCTTAATTGAAGTTGGAGACGTGCATAAATAATTACTGCTGTGATCTTACACAATGAAAATTATTGTATGCTTTTAAAGTGAGAAACATACCAGTATAAACACCCTGAAAGTTTCTGAGAAGAGATTTAAACCGTGATGTAAAACTAATTTGCATTTAGTCAGTAACAGCGTTTGTTAGGGACTTCCTTAAATATGTAATTTTGTGACATAGAAAACTAACTCTTCCTTTATGTGGTCTCATATGAAATACAGCTAAAGTGTGTGGGCTTGGCAATATTTTAAGGTGTCTGGTTTCTTACTGCGGCTGGCGAGTTGTGTCAGTGCTGATAAATTCTAATGTTGTGTATGTAAAGCGATGGTCTGGGATGAGGCCTGGGAACGTGTATTGTAAGATGCTCCTTAAGTGATGCTAATGCACCACTAGAATTTACAGTAATTGCCCTTAGATACTTGAAAAATTATTCCAGTCCCCTTATATTACTGTTCTGGTACCATGTCTGGTCTTGAGTCTTTAATATTGTTGAAATTGGCTTTGCAACTTGGTCAGTTTTTATAGCTCTTCTATGAATGATTGAAAAAGAAAGCACAATTTCTAATGTGTCAGGTTTCTGCAGCTGTTTGTTCGATTAAGCTTAATAATGTTGTTAAAATCTTTTATATCTCATGAATGAAATGATGCCTGACAATACCTTCAAAATAATACAGATTTTGGGATATAGATGAAAGATCAGCCATGGGGATCAACAGGATGACTGGAAACTGAGTGTTAGACACATTGGGTTCCTTATACTATTTTTTTTTCTACCTTTGTATATGTTTAACCTTTTATATACAGAAATCTTTTTTTAAACTTTAAAATAATCTTTCTTCATTTTTTTCTCTATTTAATCTATCAGTTACTGAACAGGGTGATGTTAACATCTCCTCTTTCTAATTCTGCTAGCTTTTGTGTTACAGACTTTGATGTCATATTCTTCCACAAATGCTAGTTCACAGTGGCTTTGTTTCCCCAGTGAATTCTCAATGTCAGGCAGTGATTCTATCCCTAAGAATGCTTTTGTGCTTTTGGCATTAAAGTATGTTTCGCTGTGATATTGATTGTGTTATTACAGTTTTCTTTTGGTCTTGGAATTTATCTATCTCAGTCCTTTTTTTAAATAGCTGTTAAGTTTTAGGTGTGTGCACATGTCCTATAAGTAGTATATTGCCGGTTTTGTGTTTTTAATCATCGATAATTTCTCGTTTTAACTGGTAAGTATTGTTTGCATTTATTATATTGGATATTTGAATGTTTTCCACCATCTGATCTTGAATTTCGGTTTACTTTGCTTTCCTATGCCTTTTTTCTTTTAATGTATATTACTGGTTTTTCTTTATTCTTCCTCCTCACCCTCCTTTCTCCCCCCGCACCCCCACCCCCAGCCAATAATTTTGAAGTTTAGTTTTTTATTTCTGTTAATTTTGGTAGAAATTAACCACTAAATCTTTTTTTTTTTAATATATTTTATTGAGTTTTTACAGAGAGGAAGGGAGAGAGATAGAGAGTCAGAAACATCGATGAGAGAGAAACATCGATCAGCTGCCTCCTGCCCATCTCCCACCGGGGATGTGCCCGCAACCCAGGTACATGCCCTTGACCGGAATCGAACCTGGCACCCTTCAGTCCGCAGGCTGATGCTCTATCCACTGAGCCAAACCGGTCTTGGCAACCACTAAATCTTAATATGGATATTTAATAAGCTCTGAAGTTAATTTTATATCCTGTTGTTCTTGTGATACAAGAACTTTTGTACACTAATTCCCAGCATCCGCTTTTGTCTTGTGATGTCTGATTTTTATTTTTTAATTTATTTTTCAAATATATTTTTATTGATTTCAGAGAGGAAGGGAGAGATTAATGATGAGAGAGAATCATTGATCGGCTGCCTCCTGCATGCCCCACACTGGGGACTGAACCCACAACTCGGGCATGTGCCCTTACCAGGCATTGAACCGTGACCTCCTGGTTCATAGGTTGACACTCAGCCACTGAGCCAGGCCGCCTGGGCATGATGTCTGATATTTAGTTCCACTTTGTGTTTATACCCCTAACTTAGTCATGATTGTTGCTGTTCCGTTTCTTTGTACCACTGCTTCTTGCCTCTCACTGCTTTCTGGATCCAGCTCTTCCTAGTAGTATGTTCTTTTGTAATAAATTCCCTCAGCCTTTGGCTTGGCTGGAAAAGACTTTGTTTACCTTCATGCATGATGACAGGCTTAGCTGGGCATAGAATTTTTCAGTTGACCAGTTTGATGGCCTCAGCACTTTGAAGACACTGTTCCATTATTCTTTGGCTTCTTTTCTTTTTGGGGGTCATGCTTTCTAGGTCTAAGAATTCACTTCCTTTGTTAATTGTGGAGAATGTTCAGCTGTCTTTTCAAGTATTGTCTCTTCCTTTTCTATCTTTTGGCCTTTGGAACTTTATTTACAGTTAGTTGTGTTAGAGCTTCTCACTTTTTTATTTTATTTTATTGATTTTTTTACAGAGAAGAAGGGAGAGGGATAGAGAGTTAGAAACATCAATCAGCTGCCTCCTGCATACCTCCTACTGGGGATGTGTCTGCAGCCAAGGTACATGCCCTTGACCGGGCTTGAATCTGGGACCCTTCAATCTACAGGCCGACACTCTATCCACTGAGCCAAACTGGTTAGGGCCAGAGCTTCTCACTTTATCTTCATGTCCCTTGACTTCTCATTTTCTACCTCTTTGTCTCTCTGTACTGTGTTTTGTATTTTCTCAGATATACCAGTTTACTAGTTCACTTTCGGCTTTGTCTGATCTGATATATTTAACCTATTCACTAGGTTTTAAATTGTATCAGCTATATTTTTCATTTCTATAGGTTCTATTTGGTTACTTTTAAAATCTGCTTATTTATTCACTAGAGGCCCAGTGCACAAAATTCTTGCACTGGAGGGGAGGTATGCCTCAGCCCAGCCTGCACCCCCTTGCAGTCTGGGAGCCCTCGGGGGATGTCCGACTGACGGCTTAGGCCCCCTCCCCGCCTCGCGCTCACCAGCCATGAGTCTGGCTTCTGGCTGAGAGGTGCTCCCCCTGTGGGAGCGCACTGAACACCAGGGGGCAGCTCCTGCGTTGAGCGTCTGCCCCCTGGTGGTAAGTGCACATCATGGCAGCCAGTTGGTTGATTTGCATATTAGCCTTCTATTATATAGGACAG